CTATTGTATTTTAATTAGTTGGGATTCCAGAACCATATAATAATTTTTTCTTAGCTACAAAAGAAAAGTGAAAACCTAAATAAGACTCGAACTTCCACAGCTAATGGCAATTGTCCAAGCACAGGTTCAATATGGTAACCGTAACCAAAATAGGTGCCTACTTATTAAGACAGAAGGGTTGATAATGTTGTTACAGCAATGTAGCAAAGAATAATCAATATACTACACAAATGTCAATGCAAAATAGGATAAGCACTCAATGCAGTCAAAAAGAGTGTTGTTGGTACAGTTTAAATTAAAGTCTTGATACTTTGCGATTTGTATAAATAATATATTATTCAGAACACAAACCATTGGTACTCTATATTTGACTCTGCACTTTGAGTTTAGTCCCAATGTTCCAACCATCACTCAACAATGGTAAGCAGCGAGTTACATGTTTAAAAATAGGTTTTTCTCTCTTAATTTTACTCACGCATTATAGTAAAAAACTCAACCCACTCTCAAAAACTAACTGGAAAAAGGAAGACTACCTAAGCCTCACGGGGAGCATTCTAACTCTATTCATAATTAATGTAAAACGTGTGTCGACCATCCCCTAATATTTAGCAACATAACAGCATCAAACTCCCACTGACCTAGCACTTTGTAAGGCATAATTAAAGCCTTAGTGGGATTATTAGCGCAGAGTAGGTTTGAGATTCGACCAAATTATCAAAAAAATTATGTATATTTGGCTAAGCATCCCAGTATTCGGATTCGGACAAACACAATCATAACAAGTGAAGCCCTATAAAAATCATAAGCTTGGAGTGATCATAAAAGTTCTTCATATATAGTTAGGGTGCGTTACAAAACTCGAGAAGGAGGATGATGTAGGAATGTGCGAACTAGGTGTAGGTGATGGTGATAGGAAGATGACAAAATAAAATAATAAGAGTCTTAATACGATAGAAGAGGATGCAACCTACAAAGAACTCAAGGAAGGAGCGCTGGGCTTAAAACTGAATGTACTTATATTTTTATATGCAATATAATGTGTCTTCCACTATAACTGTCACACAGTATTTATTTATTTTTTCTAAATTTTAACTTTTGTCGAATTCTTTAAAATTATTATTTTATAAATTTTAATTATATTTAAATATAATTTATTTATTTAATGTAAGCCCTTTTATTGTCTAATTTAACTTAAATATTTAGTTAAAAATTAACTTTATAATAAAGTAAAACAAACCTTTATAATATTCAATAAATAAATTAATAAGCAGACTTATGTATAGGTGGACGAACCTAAATTTATATATAACTTAACAAATTTAAACTTTTATATAGAATAAAAAATATATGACATTAAAAAACTATAATAAAAATGTAATATAATAATAATACTAAATATATATTATCATCATTATTGTTATAAAACGGATTGAACTGGTAAACTTAAAAAAAAATGAATAATATAAAAATTGATATTTTAAAATTAAAATAAACCTTAACTTGACTTACTTAATAAACAGGTCTAACTTATCCTAAACTTATAATAGGCTAAGTCATAGGTTTAGAATAAATAATTTATCTTATTTTCATCCTCTTTGTGCGTAAAGATTATATATTTTACCAAGAAATGAATTTAGATTGAATAATTAAGCAAGAAAAAGGAAAAATAAATAAAAAAGTATTGAAATTTAAAAGTTAAAAAGAAAATTATTTAGAAATATTAAAAACACACTCTTCTAAAGCACGAGGCCAGACTAGGAAGGCAGCATGTCCTCTTCCTTGCTCTGGCAACAGCAAGGCATCAGGCTTTATTTTCTGAACTGTAAATGCATTATTCTTTTTTGATACATTGAACCCTTATCTGATCATTGTTCCCTTGCAAAAGGATGTTGTATGTGCGCAATACTAAGTAGGTTGTCAGTTATTGTATTTGAAGTTTAAGAATTGAACTTTTTTCGTACAAAATGAATAGGTTACGTGTGAAGACAACATTCTTTTGTTTGACATTGTTTATATAGGAACGTGTTTAGTTTTGTTGTTACAAAACTGAAATTTTAATATTCGTTTATTTGTATACCGAACTCTCCGAAACCATTTCCGACTTTGATTACGAGGGAATGTGTATCATTATATATTCGCCATAACTATACTAAAAAAAAGTAGACCAGTTTGAAAAATTGAGAGTACTTTACAAATTAAGTGGCATTTATCGGTTATATTTATCCCATGCATTAATTCGAATGATCGGTCTTTAATTTTGTTGCTCAGTTGCCATTACAAATAAATTCTTCAACATTTAACCATTTAGACAAAGACCCAAGAGCTTAGTTAAGATTCCAAAACATGGTAAAGTTGGGTAAAGGGAATGCCCAATGTGGTGGACCTTGTTTGGATCCATGAATGCCACAAAGGGTACATATAGTCAGTGGGTGAGTGTAGAGATCTTTCCAGACAGCACTTCGGTCATCAAAGTGGGGCATTTCCGACTTCCTCAAGAAAAAACCAATTCCATCATAACTTATACATACTACTCCCCTAAGTCTATCAATAGGCCTTTGATGTAAACTTGTTGCTTGTTAGAACATTTTTCATCATTGTATAAGCAATATGATTCTTTTTTTCTACTCTTATCCATTTTCTCTCCTTCCTAGTTTATGTGTCTTCTTCTTTTGAGTTATATTCAATAAAACTAGCTAAAGCTTAAAACTTATAATTGATAAGCTAGCTGAAAGATTATATAGTTTATAACTTAAAATTATAACTTTACACGTTATTTAATAAAATTAGTTAAAATGTATTAAATAACTGAAAATACATAATATTATAAATACTACTTCACATGAGTCCCAAAATGGTTCCCTTTTCACATGCCTTATCGACTTCTCTGTTCATCAAAATATTATTAAAATAAAACCAACACAACACAAAGCAACGAGTTGTTACCCTCAATTTCTAATCTAATCGATTGTGTACATAAAATAGCACCAATTGGCCAAGTAGAGCTAGCCAGTGTTGATTCTAGACTCATTCAGGTTAAGCCTTCGTCCTCTACTAGTTATCAATGTCGTTCAAAATGATGCTAACAAAGTAAGGCTGAGTTTGAAAAAGAACCCGGCTTGCTCAATCCTCAACAATTCAAGATGAGAATTGACATTGTGAATCAGTGCGAAGGGAAGGGGTTCAGACAATGCAGACAGAAAAATGAGGACCAAAGAAATACGTGAAGACAAAATGATTTGAACAATGGTGCTAAAACTAATATATTAATCAATAAGAAACTAATGTATATATAAAAATTACACTAAGAATAGTTTGGCAGAGAGAGAGAGAGGGAGAGAATATCCACAGGAATAGTAATATGAAAGACTGATTAGGCTAATGTCAAGTCATTGCGATGATTCCTAATATTTTTAAGAAGAATATGGTGAGGATTAAAAGTCACGCACAGCTTACAGCTGGTATGGTAGAGAAGCATGAAAAACGCAAAATTGAGGTTTGGCCATTAGAGGTTACGAAAGGCCAAGACATGTCCTATCCTGTAAACACCCGCACCCATTTATATTACGCCGCGTAAGACACGCGTTTTCTCATTGGATAATAATAAGCAAGTGTACACTCCAATCATATTTGGGTTCGATGATTCAAATCAAAATTATATTTAAAACAAAAACAAATTTATATTTATATTTTAATTAAATTTTTAAGAGTGATAAACTGTTTCGTAATTTCTTAAGATTATTTTTCACATTTTCTTATATTTTCCTTTTTTTCCTTATTTGATATAGATTATTAGGAATTTAGCATAGGAATCCGTACTTTATATTTTTAAATTATAAATCTCGAGATAAAATTAATTAACGTCTAGTGTCATATTTTGGAAATTGCATCTTCAATTTATTATTATTACTTAAATCACTGTAATAATTAAATATATATATATATATAATTTTAGATTATTCAAACATTTATAAATATATAATCTATTAATTAATATTTTAATCTACATTTTGTAAAATTAATATATTTTATGATAATTTTAATACAGTAAATATAATATTTAATAAATACTTTTCGTTACATATTTTTACAAATAATTTAATAATTTGTATTGTGTATAATTAAAAGCATGGCAGTAAAACCGTATATTAAAATAGGAAGGTTGACTGAAAAAGGATAGGGGAGAAGGGTTCTTGATCTTATCCGATGAATTAAAACAAGAATGGTGACTGGGGAATGGATAGAAAAGGGGGTGACGCAATTGCTAGCGCAACATGAAAATGCGAATAAAACACCCAAAAGGTCAGCACTCTATTTATGTAAAATTTTAAAATCAATGTCTGTGATTTATTAGTGATAAAATCTTTATATAAAAAATTAAAAAGAAATTAAAAAAATTTACATCATTTTTTATTTTTTATTTTTCTTTATACACTAAACATTGGTTTTCTTTCTTTTCCAAAATTAAAAAAAATTATCCCTAACTTTTTTTAATATTTTTTAAAAATTTATTATTAAAATAATATTATTTTAAATAAATTTTTTGTCTTAAGCATTTTTTTATCATGTCACACCTTAGTTTTGCATTTAGGCAAAATTTTTTAAGATTTTAAACAATTTAATTTATGCAGCAGGTGATTAATTTTTTTAAAAAATATTTTTCTGACATGACTTTTCATTTTCTGATGCTAGTAATTATCAACTTAAAGAAAGTAAGGATATTTATATAAGAATTTATAAATAATTTTTTTTACAAAATAAATAAGCCATTGAAAACAGCAAAACAAATTAATTAAAAAAACAATATAAAATGAATCAAAGATTCTTGTTTTGTATGCGACGCCCCGCCCCCATATTTTCCCGAGTCGTTCGCTTAACTGTCTCTTTTTCTCGCCCTGTCTCTTTCTTTCTTCCCTCCTTGTTGGGAATTTTTTTTTTTCAATTGTTTCTATTTCTTGGTTTACAAGTTTATTTAATTATTCCAAATTTTGATTCTGCTTAGATCCCATATTCTTCAATGAGAAGCTCTTTCTCTCTCTTCAGACCTCTCTGCTGCTTCCACAGAACGCCATTTCCTTATATATTCCTTCTCCCTCTTCATCTTCTTCATCACCTTCTTCTTCTTAACGCCACCACCTTCAAAATGCAGCGCCTTAAGATGGGGTTCCCTCACTACATCCAAGCATTGGAAGAAGAACGCCGCAAGATTCAGGTGTTTCCTAAAGAGCTTCCTCTTTCCTTGGAACTAGTCACACAAGGTAATTAACCAACCAACCAAACAAACAAACACTACCCTTTTGTTTTTTTGGCATGAGGATCCTAAAGTTTTCTCCTTTCCTTTGTTGCAAGATTTTCTGAGACCCGGATGTGGTTTTTTTTTTTTTTTCTGGGTTTTCTTTGTTTTTGTGCAGCCATTGAAGCTTGCAAACAGCAATTGTCTGGCACCACAACTGAGTATAATTTGAATGGACAATCGGAGTGTTCAGAGCAGACAACATCAACGGAAGGTCCTGTTTTGGAGGAGTTCATTCCAATTAAGAAAAGGGCATCTTCCCCTTATTGTGATGAAGATGATGAGGATGAACAGCATTCTCACAAGCAAAATGTTTCAAAGGATAATAAGAACAATGATAAGACGAAATCAGATTGGCTTAGATCTGTTCAGTTGTGGAATCCAGATCCCCCCGCTGAGGAGGTAAGAAAAATCGAGCTTAATTATCATTTTACCATTGCTTTAGTGAGTCTTGTGCTTTGTATTGGAGTGATGAATTGAATTACTTTTTGGTACAATTTCGTGTGAAAATTTGTTCAGGATGTGACCGAGAAAGTGCCTGTGATGGATTTGAAGAGAAGTGGAAATAGTGGTGGTGCTTTCCTGCCATTCCACAAAGAAGAAAGAGCTATCAAGACAAGTGAATCATTGAGTGAAGCACCCTCTTCTGCCCGAGTACCCGCGGCGAGTTCTAAGACGATTACAGTCACCGGGGAGAATGCTGGAAGCAGTAAAAGAGAGGAGAGAGAGGGACGGAGAAAGCAGCGCCGGTGCTGGTCACAGGACTTGCATAAGCGCTTCTTGCACGCCCTTCAGCAGCTTGGGGGTGCAGATTGTGAGTATCTTAATCTATAGTATGTTATGATTTTATGTGTTTAGGATGTTGTTATAGAACTGCATATTGATATTTTGGTGGCTTCTGCAGCTGCCACACCAAAGCAAATCAGAGAGCTAATGAATGTTGAGGGCCTCACAAATGATGAAGTCAAAAGCCATTTACAGGTATGTTAGTGTTAGATATATGGGATAAATATATCCCAATTCCCAAATGTTTGGTTATCAAATTTGGCTTAAGCTAGTAAAATCATAATCGGGGGTCTTCGGATTTGCTATTGAAGTTTCTATTGTTTAGTCTCTCCAATTCTTTCCATGATATGGAATATTTAAACTGTTTTTTCTTGTTTTATAAAACCCTCCCCTCCAGTTTTAAGGGATTCCAAACAAAATGGTGATAATGTTTTTGTTCAGAAGTTACACTAAATTAACATTCTTGAGTTCCAACTGTTCCATATTCTCAATCATAGTCTAAAGTTTTCTTTTTGGGTTTTGGACAGAAATACCGTTTGCACACTAGGAGGCCAAGTACCATAGTTCACGACAGTGCCAATCCACACACGGCACCTTTTGTCCTTGTAGGGAACATTTTTGTTCAATCATCAGAATATGCAGCTGTAGCTACCTCAACAGCATCAAGGGAAGTGACCACAGTTGCAGCACCTGCAGGTATTTATGCACCTGTGGCCACACATCCTCCGGCTGTTAAACATCCACCAACTGATTCAATTAAGAAGCCACACTTTAAGAAAGTGGAGCTGTTTGAGCATTCAAATTCAGAAGAAAGGGGCAATCACAGTGAAGGGGCTGTGCATTCAAATTCCCCTGCCTCATCATCCTCCACCCATACCCCTACTACTTCTCCTGGCTATTGAGTTTGAACATGTTTAAGTTTTGTAACCAAATTCCTGTACAAAGCCCTTTGATGTTTTCTTCTGACCTTTTTGTACTAAATGTTTTTTACTCCTGTTGTCTGGGATTTAAATTATAGAGGTAAAATACACAGAAAGTGACAGTTTTGATGTTAAATAAGTCACACCCTTTTAGTTATAGCTGGCCACCATGTTATCTCCTTGTCACAGAAATTGAACTGAAATTTTCAATTTTTTAAATTTGCAAGCATGTTCAATGTTTCAATAGGTACAGCCTATCAAGATTGTGACAACTTTTGATTTCAAACTATTCTTGGGATTTTACTTATCTGACTCAGTCATAATACTCATTACTCAATGAACAAACTTATAACCACACCATTGTGTTTGTTGTAATTTGGTGGTGTGTTAAACTGAGTGTCCACCTACACTCTCTTGGATGTACAAGTTGGAGTTCCCTTGAGTTAACGAGATTATAGTAGTAGCTAGGAAGGTGATTCTGAAGGAGGATCTAAGAATATCCAATAGAATATGCAAAGAATAGTTGAACCCAACAACCTACAAAGGACAAAGTAAGATGCAGACAAATGTCAGTTGTGAAAATGCCAACTAAGGCTACTGTGAATTAAAATATTGCTGACGACCTTCCTTAGTCTCAAAAACTCTTGCAACTGTGAAACTAATTGGGATATGACCAAATGGCAATTCTGGATTATTAGAGACTGCAGCAAAAGATATGTTTTGCTGGTTGGTCCTTTTTAATTTCTTTTCTCCTTGCAAGTTGTAAAAGAGATGCCAAAGAAAAGGCATCGAAAATCTGCACACGTGTTCAAGTCATTTGCACTGATGGATTCTTCGTTGGAATCTTCTACATTGATCATCGAACTACTTTTTTCGTCTTTTCTTGGACACTCACCCAAAGAAAGTATGGTAAAGTCATAAAACCAATTGGATGGAAGAGTTAGTATAAAAAGTTAATGAAGAGAGTATATATATAACTATTCGCGTTCCTTCATCCAAAAGCTTAAAATGTTAAATAAATACACATACATAATTTTATATTAATTGCATTTCTAACATGCTGCTTATAATTGAAATTAATCACAAGATATTTAGAGTATGTTTGTTTCTCCTTTTAAAAAGAATTTTCTGTTTTTAAAAATAAAATACAGTATAAATTTGTATTATATTTTATTTTTAAAAAAGAAAACAAACATGCTCTTATTATCTCTGATCCAATTTTTATTTTATTTTACCCTAATAAATATAATTTATTGTGAACTTAAAAATTAAATTATTAATTAGCAAACTATGTATATATATAAAAAAAAATGCAAGCATGCAATGCAATTCCACTTAGATTAAGGTATTACAAATTGTTTTAAGATTTAGAATTGTAACTTGAGTCACAACAAATCTCTTTTAAGATTTACTTGTCTAAAGTGACTGACATCCTCTTAGGAAACGTTTGTTTTGTTGAATATGAACTAATAAAAGTTGCGTTTGGTGCATTGTATGAGGAGACTTCACAGTGTAAGTAAATAGTATCGTGTCTTACATTATTAGGTACACTAAACAAGACCAAAGTTTTTATAAGAATTAGCCGGTAAACTACTTCTATTTGAAAGAAAAGTGAGATCTCCATTGATGATCGTTAGAAAATAGAATCTATTACAAGATTACTTGCCCCCTAATAGTCAATACTGTTTTTTTACCCTCCTTTCTTTTCTCATTTTCAATCTCAACACCCTTTGTAATGCCTCTGCAATCACCCAAACTACATTACTTTATGCAAAATGACCTTAAAAGCATAAGAAATGAACATGCACTAACACAAGAAACACAAAAATGGTCAAAGCTTTCAATCACCCTACCTTTCTAATTATATTGCGAGTTAGGTGTAGATACTCAATAATATTCCCTCCGATCACATGGATAATTAAAGTTAATTTGCAGTATATATTTCAAAGTGAGATTATCCCAAAGCATGATCTTACGGATTCCCTATTATTCAACCTTCTACATGACAAATGTGGATCGCTTCGTCACCCAATTTGTCTTCCCATTTTTATACAATACATGTAGGTTAAACCTCTTTACACATTATCTTTTTTCATAGTAGTAATGGAATTCAACTCTTGCTAGAGGTTGTGTCAAAGTTCAAACATGAAGGTTTGTTGGAGTTAATAGTGTTTTGAACGCAGAAAAATTAATATTTTGACTAAAAAAAGTAGCGTAAGTAGGTCGAGGCAATTTTAAGATTCCATCAAGTGTCGTTTTTAAAAGGATTTTCCATGGCCCTTTTGGTTTCGATGGGTTTCTTAGTTGCTGAATTTAACTCTGGCAAAATTATTTACCTGCTTAAAAGGCTGTTAGTGTATTCAAATATGAGTTCGTAATAAGTTCTTAAACCTTGGAGAAGAGAATTATTGGGAGGACTTTCTAGTCGTGGTAATGTTTAATTAAGAAATAATCTCGAGACAATGCCTAAATAAATATCTTAATTAAAGAAGAAAAATTGCAATTAAATTTTCTAAAGTCTAATTCTTAACTTTTCTATATATATGCTGCACTCCAGTACTTGATGTTGTTATTATTTGCATGGCGGCGATCTGCGATCGATGATTATAATAAAAAAAATTGGAAACATTGAGAATTAAATATTCATGTACCAACTAGATTCAATTATATATTACTATTAGTTATGCACTTGCCCTGAGTAGTAAGCAAGTATCATATGCCCATCAAACAAATTAAAACATAGTACAAAAGCTGCAGTTGGAGCCTTCAGTCTATAGTTTATTGCTTGCACGTATTTATATAGCTCCTTCTACGTATCCAAGGAAGAAAAAAACAATTCATATTTGAGTATTGTCATTAAAGTCACCCATAGGAAATATATGGTCCCCATCAGGAATATTCCAAAGGAGAGGAATATTATTTTAAATCTCATGGGGTTATCTAATGAATGCGTTAGTATATTCTCATTTGTTTAGATTATCTTTTAGGTAACAATAATTCTATTCTAACACCCAAAATGGGTGTCTAGACACCCAATACATTTGGGCATTCAAATATTTTTTAATTATTTTATATTATCTTTTATTGAATTAGTATTATTTAAACAATTTTATATATATAATCATTTTTTAAAAAAAATATTTTAACACCCAAATATATTGGGTGTGTAGTGTAGACACCCACAAATTTAACTTAATATGTATTAGATTATATATACCTAAGAGTGGTATGAATTTGGTGTGTATAATAGTGATACCTACCTAGCTAATAGCTAGCTAGCAGGCATATATGCGTAGCATATATGGTGGTGCATAAATTTAAGCAAGGAAGTGGATATTCCTAATTTAAATTCCATATAATACATGTATTCTATATTAATTTTTATGGTGATCTCAAGCATAATGAATTATATCCCAATAAAATAAATCCTTGCAACCTAATATATTAATGATTTTAACTTTATATTAGGTGCATGTGGTGGGGCATAAATGTAAGTAAGGAATTGGATATTCTGAATTTAAATTTTATGTAATGCATGCATTAAATATTAATTTTTAAGATAAAATTTAAATGCAATAGTATATGTATTTTATATATTTTTTTAATTGAAAAATTATTATAATAATCTATGTAATAAAAATTAATCTTAAAAATTAACATTAAAATAAATTTTTTAATTTTAATTAAAACATAGCATTAAAAATACTTACAATATTAAATTTAAATTTTGTCATAATCTTTACGATGATCTCAAAGTTGTAATAGTTGTGATGAGTTATATTCCAATAAGTTAATCCTTGTTACTTATTTTAACATTATAGTGAAATGAAAACAGTGAGAATGGAAAAATGGTACGATAAATATTATTAAACAAACAGAAAATTGCATTTTTTAAAATAAAAGTCCAGTGATCTCAGAGGATTTGTGGTGTTGGCACGGTAGCTTTTTTCTTACTCCAAATAAAACGGCAGGTGAACAGATGTGTGTTAATTAATATTAATTAATTAAAGTGTTGGATTATCACAATTCTGTCAGGGTTTGTCTCAAGATATACATATTGAGATCATGTTATGTATGAGCTCTCAATCATTTCAAGTGGGGTGAAGCCGTGAAGGGTTTATTTTTTGATAATTGATGGAACCACGTGCTTACTAAAGAAATACTAATCGTGTTTGATAAGTCCATTGTGTTATAATTTAATTAATTTATACGTAGATTGTATGACTTGGATCATTAATTAGAACATGGACTTGGACCAAAGGAAATTTCTTCTTCGGGCAATGATACAGTTGGAAGAGTCAAGCTAAATCTGTCCCTTGGGTGGATGTAAGGTCAAGTGACCCTTAAAACAACGTTCGCATATATATAGAGGATATGGTGCATATAGTAAAGTTCTTACTTGAGTTTTTTTTTTATGGATTCTTTCTGAATATTAAGTTTCCCTTGATGATTATGATAAGGAATATTCTTGTAACCTTAACATAAAATCGAAGGCAAACGAAAACTTTTCTGGGTTTCTCAAGTTGAAAGACACGTAGATTCTACGTTTTACCGTGAATTTTACAAGAATAATGCATTCTTTGTCTTTTTATCAACTTTAATTTTCTTTGCTTCTTAGCCATTAAAGTTGCGTTTTCCCTAATCACTATATATTTAAAAGCACATTTCATACTTTTTTTATTTACAGGGATTCCATATCGAAAAGCTAAAATCCTAACCCTATATATTCACATTTTATGTTCATCCATAATCTAGTTAATTATATCAGTATCGAATCATCCAATGAATGATAAGTCCCACATACATTTCCAACAAATGACTCCAATAGCTAAGACCTAATATATACATACATTTACTTTATTTATTGAAACCCCTGTCCAAATTTTTAAATTAGATTATTCCTTATAGATAAAGTGAATTCTAATTCGTATTCATTATTATAACAAAGTATAACGATTAATTTTTTTAATGTATGTTTTAAAAAATACAATAAAAAATTATATATAGTAATTTTTATTGAAAATCACAAGATATTACAATATTTAATGAATTAATAACATTAAATGCTATAATTTTTAATAAAATATTATTCATTTTTTATTGTGTACTTATAAATTATAAATCGTGCTATAAACAGAGAATAAATATTGTAAGAAATTGTATGCTCCTATCGAATTGAACAACTGTTTACAGCGACAACTAAAAAATTTATATA